AACTGTATCCTGCGGTGAGATGGTGAGATTTGAATTTGGAGACCTGACATTAAAACACTAAGACATAATCAGTAAAGGTAAAGCGAGAATAATTGTATTATACCGATTCATAATACGAACCTAGACAACGAAGCCGAGCTTAATCTAGCATACTTACAGCACACCTGCATAACTTCACACAATTAATTGTATGATCCCGATTGATAATATTACCCTCGTCAGCAAGGCAGGGCCTAATTATCATAACGACTTTCATTACCATAATCGCATGCAATTACATTACTTAACAAGATTACACCCCCTAATTAGCATAATTTGTGCGCATTATTGCGTCAATTAACATACTTTCGGACAATTGTGATTTTATTTATTTATTTAAATTTTATTATTTTTATTAAATTTTCAATACCCGGCATATACAACAGTCGTCCAAAACAGTCGGTAGAGCGATCATCACCAAGTAAAGGTGCTCCAATCGCCTCCTGCCGCGACAAATTCTTTAATTTGAGGTAATCTGCGAGTATGATCGGTTCCACTCTCCACGTTCATAGCGGCGGGTGCCGCATCTTGCGTATCACGCTTGCTTTATAAAATGGCAGACTCCATCCGCGCCTCCCCCGTGCCGCACAAATGGCGACATCTGGCTGCGCATCCTCCTCGCCACGTGTAATGGCGGCCATCGCGCTTGTGGACGCTCCCACCAGGACGTTGCCTTCAGACTCCTGGTTGTTCCTCCCCGCCTATGTCATCGCTGAGCGCATCACCATTATAGTCTCTATGATGAGCAATACCAGCTGCACGACAACTGCCCGCAAACAGGTCCAGCTGCTCCGACACCTTCCTCCAGCCGTCTTCGGGCTGCTGGTGCAAAGATGCTGCATCTGGATCCAGAGCCTCCGGCGCAGCCAACTCCACCGCTGTGGCTTCAATAACCAGGACCACAGTTCCCAGAGTCGGCAGGAGGTCTTGGGTCGCATTTTCATCATCATCGGAACACGCAACATGTGGGTTCCGTTTCTTTTGATATTTGGACATACTGATTTCTTCGCTGTTTAACATAAGTTATTCAATACTTTTTGGTTCTTTCGGTAAAGTCATGTAGTTATAAAATAAAAAGTAAAAAATCACGACGTTTCGGGCGCAACACAATCGTCCATCATCAGGTGGGAGAGCATGGTCTGCTGCTGAGCCAGACTGTTTTAAAAGGTTTGAAATGGGTGTATCTCATAAAGAAGTGGCCAGGGCTAGTGATGTTAATGTGAGAAATTAGCATGTAACTGTGAGATAGGAGAGTGGCCTCCTAGACAAGTGCACGGAAGTTGCTACATTTATGTGAGAGATTAGAATGATGTTAATGTGAGAAATTAGCATGTAACTGTAGAAAAGAAGAGACCTGATGGCTCGTTGGGACATTCGGTCTACAGGAAAGCCACCCACACGGATGCCTATCTAAAGCCACCACTATCCAGCCCAGAAGAATTTCCTCATCAAAGCACTACACCATAGGGCCCGTTGCAGCTCCGACCAGCACCACCTAGCAAGTGAGTTGGAACACATACACTACACCAAGCCCTCAGGATGAATGGATACTCGGACCGTACAATCCACAAAGCTGTCTCCCCAGACACGTGGAGACAACCTTCTGAGGATCCAACCAAAACCATCACTTTACCGTACATAGCAGGGGTAACCAAAAATATTTCCTAAATCTTAAACAAACACAAAATCCAGGTTCGTTTCAATACAGTACACAAAATCCATGATTTAATCCCATCTGTAAAATATGTGATTCCTGACATGCAATACCCTGGTGTCTACAAACTGAGCTGGGGTTGCGGCAGCAGTTACATTGGGAAAACGAAACGACATGTCTGGGTCCGAGTCCGTGAACACAAGGCAGATCTGAAACACGATAGCACCAATACCTCTGCCGTTGCCTTATCATTGTTTTAACATTGTGGGCTCACACGAAATTGACTTTTCCAAGACGGAGGTACTCTGCAAACCTACTGGCTACCTTCAGAGATTTGTTCATGAAGCCATCCAGATATATAAACACAGACACAACTTCAACCGAGAGGATGGGTACAAACTGAGAAATCATTGGAAGGACGCTATTAACCAGGTAAAGTCTTAACTGACTGTGATGTTTCCATCCAACCTGCCTATGTCAGCTGTTATTTCTACTCTCTGTCTCTCTCTCTCTCTCTATACCTCTTTCTTAGATCTCTCATGCTCATATGTCCATTGCATTGCACTCTCATGCTCACATGTCTTTTGGATTACACTCTCATACTCACAGGCCCTTTGAATTACACCTGTTGGGTTGCACTCCCTCGTCGAGGAGGCCGCTCTTCTTCTCCTTATTTTCTACAGTTACATGATAATTTCTCACATTAACATCATGCTAATCTCTCACATTAACATAGCCACTTCCGTGCCCTCGTATTGGAGGCTGCTCTCCTAGCTTACTTTTACATGCTAATTTCTCACATTAATATCACTAGCCCTGGCCACTTCTTTATGACCCTTGAGCTACACCCATTTCAAACCTTTTAAAACAGTCTGCCTCAGCAGCAGACCATGTTTCCCACCTGATGATGGACGCTGGTGGTGCGCCAGAAACGTCGTGATTTATTTTATTTTATACTTACGTGACTTTACCGAAAGAACCAAAGAGTATGGATTCCTGCAGTCACGAAAGCTACAAAACAAGTCATTCTCTTTTTTTTCTCAACCACTTTTGACTGCAATGTAATGAGCGACTTCCCGCGACACATCGTGTAGAGGGTACTTCTTTATTTCCCACACGGGCACAACACAGGCCAACCTTATCCATTTCACTCTGAGTACAACGCCTAGATATTAACATCGCTACTGCCTACACACAGCCGATCACTCGGCTACATCGCTGGCTGGCAGCGTGATGAGGATGGCGATGGAAACCCCGCAGGAGATCTTCTACGTGGCCGGATGACGGCGAGCAGTGACGCAGTCCAGACCCAAGAATCCACACACGAACCCTGAGCCCCGGTCCACCTGCGCTTTTATCTCCCCAGGTGTGGCTAGGCCCCGCCTCTGGCCACGCCCACTCGTGGCACCTTCGAACAGGTTCCCAGAGCAACTTGGCCAACCCCACCTTTGCCCCAGATACCTCTTCCTTTCTGATTGGATGTTGTCTTCACGGTGCCCGTACCTATGCTTCCCTTTCCCAGCCAGCAGGTGTCATCATGCATTACACATGTGTAGTGAGTCACTTCAGAGATACAGTCATACCTCAGTTTATCAGTTTATACTTTGGAATACGTCGAATTTGGTATACGTCGTGTTTTGACGAGAAAATAAATGTCTTGGGATACGACGTCTTGCTAGAACTTGTATGGGTCAGGATGAATCACCGCGTACCCGCGTATACCCCGTTCACGACTGAAACAAAGCGCCACTCCTCAGTCCGCCTGTAGATCTCGTTCAGTGCACAACCCTTGCATAACTCTCTGTGAATTTTCACGTGTCTTTTGTCATTTTAACGTGGATTTTTTGCGAATTCATTCAAGATGGTTCCTAAAAAAGTTAGTGAGAAAAGCCAAGCTACAAAGAAAATGGTTAGGATCACTATTGACGTGAAAAAATAGATCATAGAAAAGTATGAAAGCGGCAGACGGGTCACTGATCTTGCAGTAGCATACCGTATGCTGAGAATAACAATTTCGACGATTGTGAAAAAAAGCCATCAAATCAGCTAACGTTTTATTTTAAATTATTTTAATTTATTTATGCATTTAGTTTAATTTATGTATGCATTTTAGTAATAAGTAGTGTCTTAGATATTTTATACAACCCCATTAATGTATAATATGCCATATAACAAATAATTTCTTATACTCTGGAATGGATTATTTCCTTTCCCTTTATTTGTTATGGGAAAAATTCGTTTGGTATATGTCATTTCGGTCCTACCTTCTGGAACGAATTAACGACGTATACCGAGGTACCACTGTACTAATAGTAGGAGGCACGCACGTTAATTCTACACTTCCACAGTACAGGGGATAACTACACTTGGGTCAGGACAGCCGGCACACTGCCTGACCCACAATGCCAACGAGGTGATGATGGGGACGAAGACTTGCGTAGACGACGGGTTCCATTCCAAATGATAGCCCTGACCCAGCGTTGGGACCTCCCTTTTATCCCCCCAGCGTGGCCTGGCGCCACCCTCTGCCACGCCCCCTTATGGAACCTACCAGAAGGTTCTGGGCTTCACCCCACGTGCCCCCTCTGTCACCTTTGCCCGACATCCCTTACCCCGGCTTATCACGTGCACTGATAGCCAACCGGGCTGCTACCTCCTCAGATGCCCCTTCCCTGTCAGCAACAAGCGCAACTCACCCTCGTGACCCATTCTATGTCATTGCATGCCCTGCTGGCAGACCGAACTGCTACACTCACAAATACCCCTCTGCCAGTACCAGTGCTACGTGCCTTAGTGACCCATTCTATGTCACTACACATGCACACCATTTACAACATTTTCAGAGGTAATCTCTACAACCTAGACAGGATAAGTCACAGGATCAAAAAACTGACCACATATATCCAGAAAGGAAACTCTTAAAACTGAACTTTGAGACCCATTGAAGCATTCCTGGTAATTATAACTACTGTTATATTACATTTAATATTACTTCAATGATGACCCTTCACTATTCTTGGTATATCTACACCACCGTGGAGTGGCAGAGTGATTACACATCACACAAACACAGCGCTATGCACGCTGTATCACCGATTGCTATCACTAGGTTTGTTACCGGCACTCTCTACCCAGGGCGAGTGCGGTGAGCATGGCTCCCCCGTCGCAGTCGATCGCCACGCACAGAGAGATGCCGGCACTGAGTCGCTACTCGGGGGCTGCGTGGCAACGTGACTCTACACACCTCGACCCCAGTGCCCCTCAAACAAAGGGTGGTCAAACAGCCCATGGTCAGACTACTCCTCACCCTGTGCATTACAGATGATGTCGAGGTCCTGCTCAGTGGTGATCCTGGCCAGGGTGTAAAGAGCGGCGAGCTTGCAGGGTGCGTCGGGCACATCCAGGTAGCAGGCCAGCACGTCCGCCGCCAGCTCCTGCTGGAAGCACGACTTAAACTCCGGCACCACGCTCAGGTTTCCCAGATATGCAATTGCAAACCTCAGCGTGTTGCGGGATTCCTGCAACGAGTCACCACAGTGAGCGTCAGGTTCATTCTGCAGCTAGATTGGACTTGTTTGCATCATCAATGCCTATACAGTAGACTCTCGATTATCCGTATGCAGTTTATCCGATTGGCGAATTAATCACGCACCTGAGATTGACATAAATTAATAATTTTGATTTAAAGCTTTCGTGACTGCAGGGATTCATATTCTTGGTTCTTTCGGTAAAGTCACGTAGAAGGGAAAAAATAAAATAATACAAAAAAATATTGCTGTGGTTTTCACACCTAATGATGATTGATTGTGTTGCAGTCGAAACGTCGTGAGAATTTTATATTTTTATTATTTTATTGTTTCCCTTCTACGTGACTTTACCGAAATAACCAAAAAAATGAATTAATAACTCATGGATTTTCCCTGAAGCCCAAATTAATAATCTAAATACAGTTAAACAATGTTATTCTTGGAAATGTTTATTACAAATTGTTCTTTCGGTAAAGTAACATAGAAAGAAAATGTATTAAATAATAGAATACGACGTATCGATTGTAACACAAGCAACCATCATCAGGTAGAACTAAATTTGAGAGAGAGACAAAACACAGACACGGAGACACACAGACAGACATACAAACAGAGAGAGAGAGACAACACAGACACACAGAGACACACAACATAGACACACTTTCTACGTGACTTTCCGAAAGAACCAAAGAGTAATTCCTGCAGTCACAAAAGCTTCAAATCATGTTTATTACAAGTAACGTGCTTAAATTGAACAAATATGTGTCCGGTTAATTGGAAACACACGTGATTGCCTCTACAGAACAGTAGTTACATATCTTTACAAGTGGGCAGAGTTTGATTCATGTTGATTTGCATGAATGTGTTGTCATCGACTTAGTGGCCTGTATTCGCGTTGGAGCAGGAAACTGTTGTCACTGAGCACGCTACAGCAGAGGTGTAGGGAATTCCAACAAGACCTGCATCTCTCTCTGCTTCATTGACCTGGTCAAGGCCTATGATACCATCAGTAGTTCTGGGCTCTGAGTTGTTCTTTGTGCTTTCGGAGTCCCTGACCCTCTGCTCACGATCATTAAGGACCTTCATGATGGTGAGTGGTCCCGGGTAAAACTACATGGCCGGGAGTCATAGCCATTCCCTGTACACCTTAGGGTGCGACAGGGATGTTATCTGGCTCCCACATTATTTAACATCTATTTTGACCACGTAGTTCGTGAAGCCTTCAATAGCTGTGTCGGGGAAAATTTCCATTTGATCCAGATATAATGGGAGGCTGATCGATGCCCAAGTGCGGTCAAGGGATGGCTCCCTATTGGTCAACCACATTATGTATGCCGATGATTTGGTAATAGCTGCTCATTCAGAGGAGGAGTTGGAGACGCTGCTGCTGAAACTGGAGCGAGCGTGCCACTAAGAGGTGGGGCCTTACCATCAGCCCCACCAAAACTAAGCACCTGCCTGGGTATTTTGTACCATCGAACACTCCACCCCCACAACTCGCCATCGGTGATGGCTAAAGCACAGCAAGTTGGCACAGTAGGGGGCACAGGTGGTGCATGAGCCAGTCATCTCATTCAGTCGACCTGTGGCACCTGGGTTTGCCCCGTGACCTCCTGCCAGCAGGCGTTCGATATTTACGTGGTCTCAAGGTGCACATGGCCTGGCACAAGCGTCGTGGTGATGTAACCGCCACTTAGTGGCGAATGGCAGTTGTTGTTGTTGATGATGAGTGATGATGGTGGTGGTAATGGTGGTGATCACTTGAACATCAGAGTAACTGACACTTGGTACTACATGGGCTAGTAACTGATACTTGGTGCTACACGGGCCAGTGACTTATTCACATTCACCACGCTCTCACTTGCACTAATTTATGTACTCACACTCTCTTACTGTCACTCACTCATTACACTATGTAACACAATTTTTATTGCTGGGTAGTAAGTGTTATTTCGTAATTATGTATGCCTAAAAAGTATAGAAAATGCCTATTATTCCCCAAAAACTTAGCTTTTGTGACCAGGATAGTGATATTTTAAAATGCACCTATTTTCAATGAGAAAACGGGCAAATGTATGTATTTTCGTTCACATAAAGTCAGAAAAAACAACATATAAATAATATAAAATGACTACAAAAGATTTAGAAGTGAGTAATTTTTGAGATGTACGATTATGCTGTAAATCACTTTCACGAATCAGCCCCCAAATTTAGTCTCCCATCATTTTCTCGTCATACTGTCCTTGGTTGCGGCGTTCAAAGTCCATTATATCCTGGTGGAAGCGGTCGCCTTGATCCTCCGAGTACACTCCCATGTTCACCTTGAATTTATCAAGATGAGCATCAAGGATATGGACTTTGAGGGACATCCTACAGCCCATTGTGCCGTAGTTCTTCACCAGTCTCAACCAACTCCACGTAGTTTTCGGCCTTGTGATTGACCAGAAAGCCCCGAACCACTGCGACAAAGCTGTTCCAAGCTGCTTTCTCCTTACTAGTGAGCTTCTTGGGATCTTGCAATTCATTGCACTCTAGGATCTTATTTATCTGTGGTCCAACGAAGACACCGGTTTTTACCTTTGCCTCAGATAGGTTAGGGAAGAAGTCTTGAAGGTACTTGAAGGCTGCCGACTCCTTATCTAGTCTCCCATAAAATTGTTTCATAAGGCCCAATTTGTCGTGGCATCAGCACCTTCCGGGGATCAACCAGTGGCTCCCACTTGACGTTGTTCCTCCGCACAGAGAACTCAGTCTGCTGTGGCAAGTCCTGCCTGTGGTAGTGCTCCTTGGTGTCCCTGCTCTCCCAAAGGCAAACAGCAGAGAAACTTGGTAAAACCGCCTTGGAGACCCATCAGGAATACCACCATTTTTAAGTCTCCGATGACCTCCCAGCCATACTCATCATACTTCAAGGAGTCCAGCAAGGTCTTGATGCAGTTGTAATCCTCTTAGAGGTGCACCGAGTGAGCCAGGGGAAGAGATGGGTACTTGCTACGATTATGGAGCAGCACGGCTTTGCGGCTCCTGGATGAGCTGTCACTGAAGAGGCGCTACTCATTCTGGTTACAGGCGATTCCGATTGCCTCGAACATACTGGTCACATTGCCAAGCATACAATAGCCAACGCGTCTTCCATGATTAATTATTCCTCCATGAAATTTTTGTTCTTTGTACCCAGAAAATGGCGTCGTGCTTCTTTTCACTATTGTCATACTATGAACCATGAGTGACTGAATTTAACCATTTAGGATCTTTAATTTAACTACGGAGTTCCCTCATGGAAATGAAAAAAATGTTAAACCGCTCACGATTCAGTATATCGTGTGCATGATTTAGTGTTTTAATCGCAAAAAAATATAAGTAGCTTTTTATTCCATGAAGGAGCATTTTGTTTCTCCATGGGAGAATTGAGAAGCATACATTTTATAATTATTTGGAATGATTGTTATTAAAAAAATGTATTCTAATGATTCTACCAGGGCTTTTCATTCTGTGGAATGAATATGTGATTGTTATAATTGTACTCTCTATTTTGTTTCGTTCTAGCAAAGTTTCAAGTATTTTTGCATAGTTATAATAACTTTTAATGTTTGATAATTATAATAGAATTTCAATATAATATTCTGAACATCTGCAGTTTTGGCTAGACGATTAATATTTTCAAGTTAATTTCATGCTAAAAGTTATTTGAAGCATGTTTTATTATCAAAATGGAAATATGGTTGGGGGGGGGAAGAGCTTTGTGACGTCATATTTGAGGGGGGTCTGACTTTTTGTGACGCTGTGTGACGAGGGGGGGGGGGAGGGGGGGGTCAAAAATCGGCCAAAATCGCGTGACATCATTTATGGACGGCCCCTTTGTCTCCCTTGTGGTGATGTTTACACACCACACCGGATACTTATTTGAGGCTGAGTGGACCTAGATGAGGCCCAGCACCGATTCAGGTAATCGTCACTGGCGTTGGCCATGAGCAGGAATCAAACCCGGCTTCCTGGGTTCGTAGTGCAGTGAGCTAACCGCTGCACCACCGCTCCCCACTCTTATATACACACTCACACTCATCCCCATACAAACACAGTTACTATCACACACTCACTCGTTCTCATACACACTCACGCTCCCTTTATCTTACACACTCACTCGCTCTCTCACACACACTCGCTCTCTAACTCTGTAACTATCTCTCTATCACATTCACTCACTCTCACGCACTGTCAAGCGCTCACTCTCACTCATTCCCTAACTCACACTAACACTCACTCTCACTTAATCACTAATTCACACTAACACTCACTCTCACTTAATCACTAATTCACACTAAGACTCACTCTCACTAATTCACACTAACACTCACTCATTCACTAACTCACACTAACACGCACTCTCACTCATTCATTAACTCAGACTAACATTCACTCTCACTCATTCACTAACTTACACTAACACTATTCCTCATTCACGAACTCACACTAATACTCACACTCACTCATTCACTAACTCACACTAACACTCACTCTCACTCATTCACTAACTCAGACTAACACTCAGACTAACACTTAGTTAATGGCTACGCAAAAACCAGCCATTCAGTTCACCATGGAAATGGAGGTGAACAACACACTCCCCTTTCTAGATATTTTGCTTGGACGCGGTCAAAATGGCAAAATAACACACAGCGTCTACCGAAAGGGAACGCACACGGATGCCTATCTGAATGCAGATTCACATCATCACCCTGCTTCCTTCAAGGGCAAGTCCACCTCAGCTTTACTTAACTCAGCTAACTGGGTTTCCCTAATCAAGGACATCTCACTGTCTCCAGATGATTTGCTTGTCAGTTTCGATGTAGTCTTTCTGTTCACCAATGTACTTGTATCTGACACAATTGCAATAATTGAAGACTTGG